TGCTAACAAGGTGTGCAAGCTCCAGCGCTCCATCTATGGGCTAGTGCAAGCATCTCGAAGTTTGAACATTCGCTTTGATGAAATGATCAAAGCGTTTGGGTTTGTGAAGACTTATGGAGAAGCCTGTGTTTACAAGAAAGTGAGTGAGAGCTCTATAGTATTTCTCATATTATATGTGGATGACATACTATTGATGGGAAATGATATAGAACTTTTGGAAAGCATAAAGGCCTACTTGAATAGTGTTTTTCAATGAAGGACCTTGGAGAAGTTGCTTATATATTAGGCATCAAGATCTATAGAGATAGATCGAGACGCCTCATAGGTCTTTCACAAAGCACATACCTTGATAAGATATTGAAGAAGTTCAATATGGATCAGTCCAAGAAGGGGTTCTTTCCTGTTTTGCAAGGTGTGGAATTGAGCTTGGCTTAAAGCCCGACCACGGTAGAAGATAGAGAAAAGATGAGTGTCATCCCCTATGCCTCGGCCATAGGGTCTATTATGTATGCCATGTTGTGTACCAGACCTGATGTAAACCTTGCGTAAGTTTGGTAGGGAGGTACCAAAGTAATCCCAGCATGGAACACTGGACATCGGTCAAGAACATCCTGAAGTACCTAAAAAGGACTAAGGATATGTTTCCCGTTTATGGAGGTGATGAAGAGCTCATCGTAAAGGGTTACGTTGATGCTAGCTTCGACACAGATCTGGATGACTCCAAGTCACAAACCGGATACGTGTATATTTTGAATGGTGGGGCAGTAAGCTGGTGCAGTTGCAAGCAAAGCGTCATGGCGGGATCTACATGTGAAGCGGAGTACATGGCAGCCTCGAAGGCAACACATGAAGCAATCTGGATGAAGGAGTTCATTACCGACCTAGGAGTTATTCCCAATGCATCGGGCCCGATGACTCTCTTCTGTGACAACACTGGAGCTATTGCCCTTGCCAAGCCCAAGTTTCACAAGAAGACCAGGCACATCAAACGTCGCTTCAACTCAATTCGTGAAAATGTTCAAGATGGAGACATAGATATTTGTAAAGTGCATACAGATCTGAATGTTGCAGATCCATTGACTAAACCTCTTATGCGAGCAAAACATGATCAACACCAGAACTCTATGGGTGTTCGATTCATCACAGTGTAACTAGATTATTGACTCTAGTGCAAGTGGGAGACTGTTGGAAATATGCCCTAGAGGCAATAATAAAATGGTTATTATTATATTTCCTTGTTCATGATAATTGTCTATTATTCATGCTATAATTGTATTAACCGGAAACTGTAATACGTGTGTGAATACGTAGACCACAACATGTCCCTAGTGAGCCTCTAGTTGACTAGCTTGTTGATCAACAGATGGTCATGGTTTCCTGACTATGGACATTGGATGTCATTGATAACGGGATCACATCATTAGGAGAATGATGTGATGGACAAGACCCAATCCTAAGCATAGCACAAGATCGTGTAGTTCATTTGCTAAAGCTTTTCTAATGTCAAGTATCATTTCCTTAGACCATGAGATTGTGTAACTCTCGAATACCGTAGGAGTGCTTTGGGTGTACGAAACGTCACAATGTAACTGGGTGACTATAAAGGTGCTCCACAGGTATCTCCGAAAGTGTCTGTTGGGTTGGCACGAATCGAGACTGGGATTTGTCACTCTGTATGACGGAGAGGTATTTCTGGGCCCACTCGGTAATGCATCATCATAATGAGCTCAATGTAACTAAGTAGTTAGTCACAAGAACATGCATTACGGAACGAGTAAAGTGACTTGCTGGTAACGAGATTGAATGAGGTATTGGGATACCGACGATCGAATCTCGGGCAAGTAACGTACCGATTGACAAAGGGAATTGTATATGGGATTGCTTGAATCCTCGACATCATGGTTCATCCGATGAGATCATCATGGAACATGTGGGAGCCAACATGGGTATCCAGATCCTGATGTTGGTTATTGGCCAGAGAGTTGTCTCGGTCATGTCTGCATGATTCTCGAACCCGTAGGGTCTACACACTTAAGGTTCGATGACGCTAGGGTTATAGGGAAGATTTGTATGTGATTACCGAATGTTGTTCGGAGTCCCGGATGAGATCCCGGACGTCGCGAGGAGTTCCGGAACGGTCCAGAGGTGAAGATTTATATATGGGAAGTCATCATACGGTCACCGGAAATATTCGGGGGTATATCAGTATTGTACCGGGACCATCGGAGGGGTTCCGGGGGTCCACCGGGAGGATCCACCTGCCCCGGAGGGCCTTATGGGCTATAGGTGGAAGGGGACCAGCCCCTAAGTGGGTTGGGCGCCATCCCCCCTATGGCCCATGCGCCTAGGATTGGGGGGGGGGGAACCCTAAGGGGGGCGCCTCCCTTGCTTGGGGGCAAGCCCCCTCCCCCTTGCCCCCCCCCTCTAGATCTCATCTAGAGGGGTCAACCCTCTTTACCCTTCTCCCTATAAATAGAGGGGTGGGGGAGGGCTGCAGCACCACATCCAAGGCGCAGCCCCTCCCCTCCCCAACACCTCTCCTCCTCCGCGTGAGCTTGGCGAAGCCCTTCCGGGGAATTGCAACTCCATCACCACCACGCCGTCGTGCTACTGCTGGAGCCATCTTCCTCAACCTCTCCCTCCTCCTTGTTGGATCAAGGTGCGGGAGACGTCATCGGGCTGCACGTGTGTTGAACGCGGAGGTGACGTTGTTCTGCGCTTAGATCGGAATCCGCCGCGATCTGAATCGCTACGAGTACGACTCCTTCATCCGCGTTCTTGCAACGCTTCCGTCTTGCGATCTTCAAGGGTATGAAGATGCACTCCCCTCTCTCTCGTTGCTATTTACTCCATAGATTGATCTTGGTGATGCGTAGAATTTTTTTTAATTTCTACAACGATCCTCGTATCTTCATGGCCCATTTGTCCAGCCCATATCACATAGCCCGGACGCCCGAGGACCCCCTAGTCTAGTACTCCCTCAAGTATATCGAGAAGTGGGACCACGAGACCGCCAACGGTCGTCAAGAACCATCGGAGAATAATACTTCACCTGTAAGGAATCAACCCCAGCATAAAAGAACTTCGGACTTGGAGTTCTCATTTAGGAGTCTTCGGATCCAATGAGACCATCACCGTTCAGATTTACACATGAATGCAGAAGTCGATGGTGGAACTAAAAAAGAACCTCGGGTCCAAATAAAGTCCTCGGATCTAGAGGCTGTCGTGGAAGATCGAACTCGTCTACGAAGCCGGAGACCATAAGATGAAGCCATTCTGAGGAATGATCAGCGTCCTCGGCTTGAAGACTAGTTCAGGAACTACTAGTCGTGTCCTGGATTGCGGGGGTGCACACCACGCCGGCCCGCCACTCATGGGTCGCGCCGAGGACTAACCGACAACTAAAGAATGGGCCACGCGAGTCATGGCCCTCGGCATACTCAATATGGAATCCTCTGAATACTTGGTGTACACTTCAAGGCATATTCAAATGATTGGCATGTTATCCCTAGGTGTACCCGACATACTTGTAACCCTAGATACCCTTGGTGCCTATATACATCTATGGGTTTAGTCTGTAGAGGCAAGGTTTTTAGACTAGAAAACATTCATACAATCTCGAGGTAGATCATAATGTACTTTGTACCCCATCTTCAGTACAATACAAGCAGGACGCAGGGTTTTATCTCTTCGAGAGTGCCCGAACCTAGGTAAATTATGCGTCTCCTTTACTTCCTGTTGTCATCGTACCAAGATCACCAGCTCGGAATCTCGTACCCGAGATCCGCCAGTTTTATCACCGACAACGTCTAAACTCGCTCAAAACAAAGTTCATTCATTTTTGGGAGTGCCAATTTTTCGGGTGGTGAATTTTGCAATGTTTTATAAAGTGGTGGTTTTTTCACAAATGACGATACGCATTGTGGTGGTTATTTGCATTTTACTTAGCCAACCGATGTGTGCGACACTGTAAACATTAATTGAGACGTCTGAATAAATGCTTTGAGAGATTGTCTAAAAGAACGATGTGTGCCATTCCAACTGACGCATCATAAAAATGAGGCATTGCCTTTTTGTTGTGCTTGCATCCGGGCGCCGTCGTCCATCTCATGAAAGAAACGGAAGATATGATCATATCTCGCTTTCAAAAGGGTGACCATAGAGTTATGTTATGATTTCTTGCAATGTAACCAAATTATTGAAAACACCATCTCTACAAAGAACAGCTTATAGTTTAATCGTTATTGTTGTGTATTTTTTTAGGTCTTACATCATCGTGCAACAAAAGAAAATTAACTCTGTGTGTGTGATAAAAATAGTTTTTTGACTCCGCATACCCAATGTCAAAAATCATGTCCAAAATATTAGTTTTTTATTTACGAAATATGTATGTGGCAACCGTGTGGCAGATTGCAAAATTTGGCAACCGATTGATCTACCTCTCGTCCGTCCATGAGCGTTCAAACTCCTACGCCAGAGGGTTGAGCCACGGCCCCGCGAGCACGCCGTCACCAGCTTCAATCGGCCCGGTCGTTCCCTTTCACCCCCTCGAGCACCAGCGCCTCCTCAAGTCGCCATCATTGGCCGCTGCTCCGACGAGCAGCTCCTCCACGGCCAACACCCGCCGGAGCAGGAGCTCCATCACCATCTCCATGTGATTCCTATCTCCCCTGCAGTGCATCCACGGCCACGTCCTTCACACATCTCGGCCATAGCAGCCGCTGCTACCGCTTCCCGAGCTTCGTCCCCACAGCCATAGGCTCCGGCTGGCGCCGACGTCAAGATAGGACACTTGCATCGATCTCCTTCATCTTTGAACAATAAGTTGTGTACTCAACTGAAATGGATTCGTAATGAAGAGATCTATAAAATTCATGTTGAAGTCGATGTGATTTGTAGCCTAAATCACCAAGTATAATGGGCAATTGGGAGTTCTTTTTTGTTTTCAGTTTTCAGATACATATTAATTGGTTTTTTTGAAAACCCCTCCCATATATTAATTAACTTAAAATATTCATACAATCATCCGTTACAAAATCAGCCACGCAGGGCGGAACACTATTAAGGAGCACACCATCGGACCTATTATCAAAGCTGAACTTCGCAATCTCGTGCGCCACCCTATTAGCCGTTCTGTTAATCTTGGATATCTTGCAATTTATCATCATTTTGGCTAAATTCAAAGCTTCTATCTTTAGATCCACCAGAGGAGACCTGTCTAGAAGATCATTTCGAAGGAAAGAAGCCACAAAAGAACAATCCGTTTCTAAAATGATGGCCTTGTGGAGAGTAATACCAATGTATAGCCCCGCAAGGGTCGCTCTCAGTTCAGCTTCTTCCGCGCTATTGCACACCCCAATATAATCCCAGGACGATATGATAACTTCTCCAGTATGGTTCCTGGCCACGACGCCCACACTTGCAGCCCTTAAAGCCTCCACATAACTTGCATCAACATTAGTCTTAATGATCTCCGTAGCGGGAGCCTGCCAAGTCACAAGATTCTTTCGCATATCATTAGTAAAATTTAAGCCATCCACCCTCTCTTTACCTTTGATGCTAATCTCCATCTTGACATTGGGATGACAGGACGAGAAGGACGTCCAATAATTCTGAATGAACCTCACCGAGTCGGACATTTTTTCCTTTCCCTTACCAAAAATCAAATCATTCCTCAGATGCCAAGCCCTCCAAAACATGAATATAATTTGCTCATGCACCGGCGGCCTTACTTGATCCAATAAGACAAGTAACCAATTCGGCCCCGTAAAATTGAAAACCACTTCATCTAGTAAATTCCATACCTCCCTTACCGCCAGACGTAACGCACGAGCCTTAGGACAGCTTACCAGTGCATGAAATACAGATTCATCTTCTACGCCACAAATCGAGCACAGACCAATGGTAGTTTGGTGGTGTTTAACTCTGTTAACTTGAACCGCCAAACTTTGTGTCGCAGCACGCCATGCAAAAATTCTGATTTTCTGAGGGACCCGAGCCTTCCAAATAATATTCCATAGCCTCCTTTCCCCATTAGCAGCACCACTTGAACTCCCTAACTCAATCATAGAGTCCTTAAGTTTGAGCGCCAACTTATACGCACTTTTAACTGAGAATAAACCATTTTTTCGTAGTGCCAAGCAATGAAATCTCCATCACCGACAGTCAGAACACGCAACTTCAAAATTTCGTACGCATCATGTGGAAAGAACAGATGCCGAATAAGATTCTCATCCCATCTTGTTGAGCCACTAATGAATAATTCAGACACACATTTGAGTCTGGTTCTGTTCTTTTTTGCTGAAATTTGAAGCCCCGAATCTCTAGGAAGCCAATTGTCTCTCCCAATATTTATATTTGCACTGTCGCGAACTCTCCAAATGACCCCCTTTTTCAGCAGCTCAAGACCATGCATAATACCTTGCCAAGTAGTCGATGTCACCTGAGGGAATACAGTGTCTAGCAAATGCCCATGAGGATAATACTTTGCTTTCATCACCTTTGCACATAACGAGTTCGGAAAGACCAATAAACGCCAAGCCTGTTTCGCCAAAAGCGCTTGATTAAATAATCTCAAATCTCTAAAGCCCATACCTCCTTCTCCTTTGGGTCTTGTCAACTTATCCCATGCTAGCCAATGAGTTTTCTTCCTATCCTCCTGGTCACCCCACCAAAAATTCCTAATGATTTGGGATAACTCTTCACAAATAGAAGCAGGAAATTTAAAAATCCCCATGTCATAGACCGGAAGAGACTGAACGACTGACTTAATCTGGAGCTCCTTCACACCACTAGAAGCATATTCTTCTATCCGGTCTGAAACCCGCTTAAGCGCTTTATCTTTTGTAGATTAGAATTTACCAGCCTTCATCCGCCCTTCCGGCACAGGTAAACCAAGATATTTATCCTCAAAACCATCAGAGGTGATTTTGAGAACCACCAAGATAGAAACTTGATCTTCCAGGCTACACTTTTTACCAAACAAGATGGAGCATTTATCCGGACTTAGCAATTGACCCGTCCCCTCCTCATAAGTAGCCAAAATCCATTTAATGACCAGAGCTTGCTCCAAAGAACCCTTAAAAAATAGGAGGCTATCATCCGCAAATAATAAATGTGAGACCCCTGGAGCATGTCTGTTCAGCCGAAAATCCTGAATAACCCCCTTCGCCGTAGCATCATGGAGTAACAACGAAAGAGCCTCAGCCACAAATACGAAAAGGTAAGGAGATAGATGATCCCCTTGCCTGAGGCCACAAGAAGGTTGGAACGAATCTAACAACTGACCATTAAACCGCACAGAAAATTTCACTGACGTCACACAGATCATAATCCACTTAACCCACACTGGAGCAAAACCATATGCCCAAAGCATACTTTCCAAGAACCCCCAGTCTACACGATCATATGCCTTGGCTAGGTCCAGCTTGTACGCACAATATTCACCTCGGCTGTCTTTTAGCGTACTCAACGAATGCATACATTCAAAAGCTATAAGAGCATTATCAGAAATTAATCTTCCAGGGATGAACGCACTTTGGGTTAGAGAAATCATACCGTCCAACAGAGGTCTCAGTCTGTTGACAAGACACTTGGAGATAATTTTATATATGACATTGCATAGACTGATTGGCCGAAAATCTTTTATCGACTGGGGGTTCTTCACTTTCGGAATAAGCACAATAGTTGTATTATTTATCCCCTCCGGCATACATCCCGATATAAAAAATTGTTGAACTGCACGAACAATATCTTCCTTTAGCAAACCCCAATTCCTCTGGAAAAAGCCAGCTGGAAACCCACCTGGCCCTTGAGCCTTCAACGGACTAATTTGAAAGAGCGCATCACTAATCTCTTGTTCAGAAAAAGGCTTACAAAGATCCTCATTCATCTCATCATTCACCAGAGGTTTCACAAGAGAGATAATATAAGAAGGGTTTACTGTCTTGTCACAAGAGTAGAGATTCTTAAAAAAAGAGTTTGTGATACCTTTCATCTCGTCCACATCATGAGAGAGGGACCTGTCGCTCCTTTTAAGGGCCAAGATATTATTCTTCTTAGCTCTCCATGTGGCCTTTCACTGAAAGAATTTTGTATTCCTATCACCCCATTTCATTTTGTCCAAACAAGATCTCTGCTTCCACATGATTTCTTCCTTCATCAAAAGTTCATCCATCTCCGCCAGGATTTTCTTCCTTTCCATAACAGCAGTATGGTCATTTCTTTTGAAGAGCAAATTTAATCTCTTTCACGTCGTTTCAAGCTTTTTGGGCAAATAACCAATATGTTCCTTACTCCACCCATGAAGAGACTTCATAAGGCTGTCCAACTTATTTGCCACATCTCCCAGGTCACTGACATGCGTACTTTTATTCCAAACCAATTCAATTTGATCATTGAGCGCCCCAGCCTCTCTCTCCCAGTACGCTTCATATCTCAGATTTTTAATAAGCATCCCGGGACGAGGAACTCCCATCACTTGAATAAGAAGAGGACAATGATCTGACCTTGAACTGATAATATGTTGCACCGTACAATTAGGGAACATGGAGGACCACCGAGGACAAGCCACCGCACGGTCAAGACACACTTTCACATTTTTGTGACCTTCCTGCTTGTTATTGTAAGTCCAAGGAACACCCGAAAAAACCAAATCAAATAAATTGCATTCTGATAAAACCTCACGAAAATTTGCCATAAGTTTATCCGACCGCTTATTCCGAGAAAAATGCTCATTCTGCCACATAGCTTCGTTAAAATCACCAACCATAAACCATGGTCCGTTTCCAAGCGGCTTACTACGCCTTAACAATTCCCACATCACATACCTTTGGCTTGCCCTTGGTTCACCATAGACAAAGGTACTTCTCCATTTACTGCCATCTTCTTTGCAAATGTACATATCAATAAAATGCTCACCATATTTATTCAGCTGTAGAGTATAAAGGTCATCCCAAAAAACTGCTACACCTCCACCTTTTCCTGGCAAAGAAACAACAAACATATTTTTCATACCCAAGCGGTAGCGCAAACTCTCAACATACTCTTTATTTTTCCTTGTTTCAGAAAGAAAGATAACGTTGGGTCGGTGTGTCTTTGAGAGGCACACCAACTCTTGGACTGTCCGAGGTTGACCCAGACCTCGGCAGTTCCAGCTAATTATTTTCATGGCTCCTGATGGGCGATATCATGCTCGCCCGTCAGTTGACCGGCAGCCCCAGGGCCGGTTGCTTCCTTAGTATTGTTCCCTACATCTTTTCCATCCTCTACATATTTTTCATCCCCTACAGACTCTCTTCTTTTGTCCTGATCCACCTCCACTCCCCCATCTACCTCTTCAGTTACATGAATAGTAGACCCATCTATGCCTACTCTAGTACCAACTCTCTCAACACACACTCTTTTACAATTCATACTGACATCCATAGCATCCCTAACCTCTAGACTTTCAGTACTAGTACTATTCATGCTTAACACGAAGTCTTGGTCATCAGGGGATCGCCTCTTGCTACCTGCCGTACTCTCAAGCATGGCAGCAAAAATCATCTTGCAACTGGAGAGCTCGCTGCCGCTGTTTGGTGGCGTGGGGATGCCAAAAACCACATGTTTAGCACATGCAGATTGCACCATCTCCTTCTCTTCCTGCACTTCTCGATGAAGCCTCTTCCATCGCTAGACTCTAGCAGTAGCCAGAGCACGCTGTTGTACGCCATCAGTAGCAGCACCCTCGCGACCACCATGAGCTTTAGCCTTCGCCTGATCCATAGGCTGTACATCCCCCATCTGCGGCTGCTTCTGCATAGACGCCATAGCAGCAGCAGTAGGAGACCCAGGAGCACTCAGGTTAGAGTGGAGGTGCTCCCTAGGTCCCTTATCCATCAGCTCACTCATTTGACCAGCCGGAGCTCCTGAGTTGGTGTTGAGGTGTGCTCCAGCCATGTCATTGCACGCCTCCAGGCCTCCAGTAGCAAACTGAACAGGGGGCCCATTGTTGGAGTTGTTGGTACCCCCGCCAGCGAGCACAAGCTGCTCCAACGCGTTTGGTGCGTCAGTGGCAACCGGAGCAGAACCGTCCACCGAAGCTGACGCCGTAGTCGTATCTGCAGCAGCAGACAAGTATAGTCTTTTGACCGCCGAGGCCACCTCCGTGATCACCTTGTCCTTCACCGGCTTCTTCCCAAAATTGATTTGTCTACGAGCAGAGGCCCAATACGGAGGTGCCCTTATGTCGGTGGAGTAGGACGCCTTCCGCAGCTCTTTGGGCATGCTGCAGAACTTCTCTGTCGTGTGTCCCAGCACTCCGCAGCAAAAACAGAAGTTTGGCAGCTTCTCATACTTGACATCGAAAAGGATCGGTTTGGTGCTACCTTTTGGAGGTTGAAGACAGCATCTTCGGTGGGCTTCAGAGTGAGAAAGGAGCTGGGCTGGGCCCATTGGTGGGTAGAGGCCTAGTTAGGAAGAGTTAATATTTGGCTCAAAAACAAAGGAAAAGTCAGTGTTTTCTTGTTTTTCACTTCTCCGGTGCATCATTTGTACTACTCTGTTCGTCCCGAAATAAGCGTCAAAGTTATATTAAGCTTGAGACAATTATTTTGGGAGGGGGAATTTTTTAATATCTAATGAGTTGCGCATAAAACAGCATTCTAACTTTGACGTATCAAAACTGATGTAAAAATATATCCTCGGTAATTTCTATGTAAATAGAAATATAATTTATACACGACAGATCTGATAACTTTCATTCAAACACCACGTAAATTGGACCCATGATACTATTGTTAAAAAACAATCCCATTAATTTCTATGTAAATAACATGGTAATATATGCACTATAGACATGATAATTTATGCAAAACACCACGGGGACTTTGACCCTGGGAAAACATACACTCATAAATTCTGTGTAAATATCATGGTAATATACGGACCGCAGACCTGATAAATTACGTGCAAACACCATGGTAATTTTGGCCTCGGATTTTTTTTGTTAAGACACATAACCCCGTTAACTTATGTGTAGATAGGATAATAATTTACATTTCACAGGCTTGATAACGTATTTACAAAC